GCTACAGGGAAGTCATATACATATTTCTCGGTTGAGGAAAGCCATCATTCCTCCTAAAGCGGAAGAAGAAATGGAGAAAATGTTTTTTCACCTGCATCTTCTCAATGTTCACCTTTCTTCAACCCTGATAAATTACATTCTGGAATGGCAGGGTTTGAGTCTGTTGCTTACTGAAATGTCTGCAACAATAAATAATTCTAATAAAGAAACAGCTAGGGCTTTATTATTTGTATTACCACTATTATACGCTGCAAATCACTTATTTCCACTGCAACTCTATTGACTTCAGTGGAGAACAGATCAGGAAAAAACTTGCCACATTATTTTGTTCCTTGCAAACTCTTCTATGGTTCTCATCATAGTAGGACTCACATTGCTCCTAGATGGCATATTAATTGATGTGAATAAAACCTCTTAGGTGGTTTTGTTTTGGGTTATTTTTTTTCCTGTTTTCTTTTTTAGCAGAAAGTGGGGAGCTTTATAGTGTTGTTGTGTTCTTATGGCAAATAGTTTCAGTAGCTGTAGAGGGAGCCTTCCTTTTCACATAAATGGTTTTTACTCTGTGAAGAGCAGTGCAGTACTGTGACAACTGAGTTGTTAGCTGTGACCTTTATCCTGATGCTTCATGCCCAGGTATCCTATTGCTGTAACCTAGAGATGGATAAAAGCCTGTAGAGAGAAAGTCTTCTAACCAACTACAGATATTAGGAAAAAATACAGTGGAGTAACTCTAGTAAAATATGGGCTTCTCAAGAAATCTAGAAATTTCAAACAATATACCAATGTTCCTTTTTTCTGTCAATATAAAGGAAACTATACCATTTTTGCAAACACTGGTGTTTTGTTCTACCTGCTAGAATAACTTTTGAACTGATCCAATTTGGTGCAATGACTTTTCATCTGCAGTGACAGATATTCTGCTCAGTAATAGTGCAGTAATATATACACTACTAAGTAGTGTTTTTCTAGACCTTCTTGTCCATTTCTTCTTGCTAGTCTTTCTAATCTGTATGCAACTAAGTTTAAAAAGGAATCCTCAAAGGATTCTGCAGGTAAAGGCTCCATAAGTGATGGTAGGGTTATTAGTCTTAGGTGGTCCTAACTTGCTCCAAAGCACTCTGATTAAAGTGCTGGTCTTCAGAAAACCTGGGGACATAAGAATTGGTAAAAATCCAGTGAAACCTGGAGCTAACCCCCCGGGGCTATTATACCTATAGTAGTGCTATTATACCTATAGTAGTGCTATTATACCTATAGTAGTGCTATTATGCTAGATACAGCTTGAATTCAGAAAAGTGCTTGTTAAACAATTGCCTATAGGTTCTTTGTATTCTTTAGTCAAATTAGAGAACAGAACTTTTTTTCTCTTTTTTCTCTTTTTTTTCTTTTCTTTTCAATATCCCGTTCATCATGATGGAAGATTCCTGATCCTTCACCCCCTTTTTGGATGTCTGTACTTGTGCTGTGTAGTAGGACAGGCTGGAATCTGAGTCAGAGGTTAGGGGAAGCGGGGAATTAAAGAAGA